GATGTCGCGAATGTGCGCTGCGGACTTCATACTCGTTGGGAAATGCGACTCCATGGTCTGTGCCCGGAGCGTTCCCCCATTGTAATTCTGGCTCGAAGGTGTTCCTGTGTCATCGCTCGGAGCGTAGTTACATTGTGTTTTGCAAGCTTTGGTTGCTAATCGCCTTATAGTTCTGGCTCGAAGGTGTTCCTGTGTCATCGTTTGGTGCGCAGTTACGTGGTGTTTTGCAAGCTTTGGTTGCTAATCGCCTTATAATTGCTACTGCAATGGTTTCCAACGTACTTTTTTCCAAGTTTTGCCGCTTTCATTTTTCTTATAAATCTCTTTTAAAAAACGCTTCGAAATCGCAATTTTTTGGAGCTTGGACGTCGAGATCCGGTTTTGGGAGGCTATTCTCTGTGCTTGCGGTGCGCAGTTACATGGTGTTTTGCAATCTTTGGTTGCTAATCGCCTTATAGTTCTGGCTCGAAGGTGTTCCTGTGTCATCGTTCGGTGCGTAGTTACAGGGTGTTTTACACGCTTTGGTTGCTATTCGCCTTATAGTTCTGGCTCGAAGGTGTTCCTGTGTCATCGTTCAGTGCGTAGTTACGTGGTGTTTTGCAATCTTTTGTTGCTAATCGCCTTATAATTGCTGCTGCAATGGTTTCCACCATGTCTGGTGTAAACCATGTCTGGTGTAAACGGTGTCTGGTGTAAACGCTGTCTGGTGTAAACTGTCTATGGTGTAAACTTTTTCTGGTGTAAACCTTTGTTGGCTTTGTCTGGTGTAAACGACGTCTGGTGTAAACCGTGTCTGGTGTATACGGTGTCTGGTGTAAACGCTGTCTGGTGTAAACTGTCTCTGCTGTAAACTCTTTCTGGTGTAAACCTTTGTCGGTTTTGTCTGGTGTAAACCTCGTCTGCGGTAAGACCTTTTTGTCTGGTGTAAACGGTGTCCGGTGTAAACGCTGTCTGGTGTAAACTGTCTCTGCTGTAAACTCTTTCTGGTGTAAACCTTTGTTGGCCTTGTCTGGTGTAAACGACGTCTGGTGTAAACCGTGTCTGGTGTATAGACGGTGTCTGGTGTAATCGATGTCTGGTGTAAACTCTTCTCTGGTGTAAACCTTTGTCGGCTTTGTCTGGTGTAAACTTTTCCATGGTTACTTCGTCTGGCGTAAACAACGTGTGGTGTAAACCGTGCCTGGCGACATGCACCATCATCATCATTATCATCATCATCATCATCACCTTCATCATCATCATCAGCATCATCATCATCATCCTTATCATCCACATCATCATCATCATCCTCATGATCATCATCATCGTCGTCAGCACCATCATCATCATCATCATTACCAGCAGCTACGTCATTGCAATCGTCATCGACCTCATCGTTAGCTCATGATCACAATAGCATATCACGGGCGTATCGTGAGATCATCATCTCATGGCACATCATATTTTCATATTTGATGTCATGTCATATTTTCTTTCACGGCATGAGAGTTACATGTGTTTCAGGTTGTGTTGTATTTGTATACTTGGCTTGAAATAGACCCAGCTGACTCGATGTGTTATTGTAGCTGATTGGATTTTTTCCGTCGTTTGCATCGGCATGACGGTGACGGCTTTAGCATGATCAGCATCAGATTTGTTGTTACAGCTGCTTGAATTTTTTCCTTTGTTGGCATCATCATGACGGTGACAGCTTTTAACATGATCAGCATCATTGACACACGCTGTGCCATCGCAGGGACGGCATTGCTCTCATGGTTGCAAGTTATCCGCAGCTTTGAAGACGAATTATTAGATCGTCCATTCCCTGCTTTGCGTCATGACAGACCTCCTACCGTGGAATTCCGAGGTTCGGAGCTGGGTAAATGCATGTGAACGGAAAATTCAAACGGCATACTCTCGCCTGCCATGGAAGCCGCTGGACTGGAAGACACACAGTCATGACTACAATTTTGGAGATATCACTGCCTGGCCACTGGATGCCAGCTGCATTACCTTGGGAGGGGATGCCATCTTCCTCGGTAGTGTCAAAGCGGCTGTCAACATTGAAGCGGTGGAGGTGGAGTACACGACAAAGATCTCCCATGTCGTGACCCTGTGTGGGAACGAGATCCAGGTGCGCGGCGCGCCGTCAGATTTGCCCACCTATTTTGAACGTTGTGGCGTCGCTCATATCTGGTGGTTCATCGAGGATCCCACAGTCAAAGACCCAAATACAGAGCTGGCGAAGCATCGTCAGTCTGCCGGTGAATGTTTAGCTTTCTGGAAAGATTTGATGCATGTTCTTTGGGATGTGGCCTCCTACTACTGGAACCACGACATCAGGTTTACGCCTTTGTTTCATTGCTTTGGAGGCATCAATCGCAGTACCGCCGCGCTTTGCGCCTGGCTGGTGATCTGGTGGGATCTCAGTGTCGAGGATGCCATTGACTGTGTGCTCCAGCAGCGTCCAAGCCTGAGACCGTGGAAGCGACGAGCATATGTCTTGTATGCACTGCGATCCTTGGAGCATCACAAGCATGCCTGGCGTTGGGAATTTGAAACGTCGTGACCAAAGTGTCGACAAAAAGCTGTGAATTCGTGGCCAAACTGGCTAGAAGGACCTGGGTCCACGACCGGAAGTTGTTCGAAGTCGGCCCTTGTTCCGACTGAATGTGCAGAGACCCCATGAGGAACGGGATCCACGACCGAGAGTTGTTCGAAGTCGATCCTGTTCCGACTGGGTGCGCGAATATACCTGATAACCGATAAAATTGTGCAAACAGAGCTCTATAGACATCTTTTTTTTGTTCGATTGTTGGACTTGAATGATATTCTTTGCTTGTTGTGATTTGACCTGAAAGACCAGTTTCGTTTCCAGAGACATTGAGTCTTTTGAACAGGTTGAGCGGCAACAAGTGGGACCAAATGAAAGTGGACACCACGCAATGGAATTCCAGGAGGCCGGCATGTCGATGCCACATATAGTCACCAGCCACGAAGTTACAAGTATCGGCGAAAAGCTGTGAATTGGCTATTGCAAAGTGTCGTGACCAAACTGATTAGAAGGACCTGGGTCCACGACCGGAAGTTGTCCGAAGTCGACCCTTGTTCCAGCTGAACGTGCAGAGACTCCACAAGGCACGAGATCCACGACCGAGAGTTGTTCGAAGTCGATCCTGTTCCGACTGGGTGTGCAACTATATCTGATAACCGACAAAACAACACTAGTTGAACTGTGGGTAATTTGTTTTGTTTTTCAAGTGTTGCATTTGTATGAGCATTGGTTGTCCTGATGCCAGGTTGGGACGTGCGATTTCGCACACTTCGGCGGCTCTTACTACCGGGACTAGCGTTTGAGCTCGACCGGCGCTGGATAAAAAAGAATCGACCGGGACTACCGTTTGGGCTCCGAAGTACAGTGCAACAGAATATACATTAATAGATTTGGTAATAACGTGATAATAGTATCATAATCATAATGTATATATATATAGATATATATATATATATATTATATATTGTGTCATCTCATCATCATCTCATTTTGCTTCATCTTAATGTTTTGAATCATCATATATCATCTCTTCATTTCTTTAGTGCTCATTCATCTTCTGTTACTTCGCTTTTCTTCCCTTCTATTTGTTCTCTTCCGCCTACTTGCTTTCGGGCCACCCTGTCGTCTAGTTTAATGTGTTCACATGTGTTCACACATTGTTTGAGACGTGCTACATATATACAATATAATATTATTGTGATTGTTATGTCTCTCTTTCTTGCCCTTTGACACCTTTCTGTCTAAAAGACGCGCTTTCCACCCCCAACCACCAAGACCAGCCTGACCCACAGTGGCCCGGGCGCTCGGTCCACACGGCCCTATCCTGCGCTCGGGTTAGGCGGAGGTGAGCAAGCAGCTGCTGGAGGCACAGGCCAATCCGAATGTGACCGATCGATATGTGCAAACGCCCATTTTCTTTGCCCCCACTCGGCCTCCCAGCTGAGATGGTGCGGTTTTGGGATGGTGCGGGGTGTGGTGCCGGGTGTGGTGTCCAGGACGGGTTTGGACCGTGGACTGGACTTGCGTTCGCGACGCAGCTGGGCCAACTTAGGCTGATGTGCATGACACTGCAGAACTTCCAAGCCGATGTGAATGCCACCAACCGGAAAGGCCGGTTTGAAACGGCGTTCGTGTGCGAGTCAGTCGTGCTGGGTTGCTTCACATGGCAGGCGCACCGAGTCACCTAATCTTGCGGATGAAGCAGTCCCAGATGCTCCATGTATGCCATATATGCCTACATTGGGGTGGTTTTGGGGGGTCAATGCAGGCATATATGTTGTCCTTTGAGTTCTTTGGTGATGCTGGCAGGAGAAAAAGATAAGGCTTTGGGGGAATAGAACTCACTTCCACCTAGCTCAACCCACCAGCTACGGAGCACCGCCTCCAACCTGCGAGCTGCCTAACTCTTGGCTCCTTCCCCTCACCTACATGATAGCCAGCCCCCTCAACCCGGTTCCAGAATCCGAATCGGAAGCTGGACAACCGCAGCGTTTGCGCCTTCACAGCCCACGGTCATCCTGGAGTAGGCTTTTGGCCAGAAAAATAGTCTCCAAGCTTCACTCCTAGGTCCTATGCTCGATCTTTCCAAAAAGAATAGCAACAGGGGCTTCGACCCAAAACACGATCCGAAGCTTTCCACCATCGGAGTGGTAAACGCGGTGCACAGCCGCAGGGCAATCGCCGCTGCATTTGGCCGCCAAGGGCGGCTTAGGAGACGTGCTGCACTTCCTCAGTGCCAAGGCTCAAGGGAAACCTTAGGGAAACATGACACGGTGTTTTTTTGTTTTTCGGGTGGAAGGAAAAAGGCGGGGTGCTGTGCTGTTCTTTTTGAGGGGTGCTTTTTGGGAAGTAAACGCAAAGTGAAATTGTAGAGGATCAAATAAGGATTATCGGCGCGGCCTTCCGCTTAAAGCTGACATGAACAATTCGATTTTCTGGGAAGGCTGAAGTAGCAAAGGGACTACTAGAAGTGTCAAGAAGCTATATACGTACATATACGTACTAGTAAAGCGTCCTCCCCTTTTTTCGGTTCTGTTCCGCCCCTACTGGTCTTGTCAGGTTATTCACGGTAAAGGGGTGCAGTATTTGGAAGTAACGACCCGGAAGCTTCATTTGGGTGTGCTTTTTGGAGCAGATAAAACTATCTCTGGCAAAATCCCAAGCAGACTCCAAAAACATAGCAAGGATCCCAACCAGGTTGGGGAGGTCCCCCCTATTGAAATACAAACAATCGTTTTTTTTTCGGATATTTGGAGTGCGGATTGCAGTCAGATGCTCCGTGTTTGCTCCGCCGTGTTCACCAAATCCCCCAGAACCCGCCAGGCCAATCCAAGCGTGCTGTCCTTGCGGGATGCCCGGTGACCTCAGTCTTTCCCAAACGCTCCATGGGACTGCCATAGGACTGCCAATCGGGGTGGTTGACTGGGGGTCAATGGATTGGCAGTCCTATGCCAGTTCCATGGAGCATCTGGGTTTGTAGAGACCGTGGACCACACAAATCACACATGAGATGCGTTACTTTATGCGTTATGTGATGATTGCAGACGTTTGTGTCGACCTGAATTCGAGCCAACCGCCGGTCACCACGACGTTTGAGACGTGTGCTCGACCGCAGAACCATGCGAGACCGCGCGTTCGCCCCTCAGGCCTCGGGACAACGCGCGGCGGACTACGCCAAAGCTGCGGGCCTCCACGCGATGTTGGGCAAACTGGAAGGACGCCGGACGGACGGAGACGGGCGGAAACGGTGATCGGTGGGAGTTCCGCCCTCTTTCGGGTGTTGGTTGGTGTCGGCGAGCGTGTTTTAGCGTTTTCTGGGTTTGGGATTGGGGTGATGAACAATCTGTTTGAAAGAAAGACCGGAACATGGAGGTCTTTAAATTAGCAGGTGCTGAGCAACAAGCAGAAGTGCTCCTTTCAGTGCCAATGTTTTGGGATGGTCTTTGTCATCATTCCAGATCTATTCGCAACAAATGGCACAGCAAACAACCCGGTCAACGCCCCATTTCTGAAGATAATCTGACTACCCAGAAGTGGTGGATCATGACTACCCAGTGTGGTACAAGGAGTCTTGTTTTGCTCGCTGAGCGCAGACGTGCTCCATGTCAACTCTGTTGTACCCAAGATGGAACGTGAACATGCTCTACCTGAAGCATCATTTGTAGCACTCTTATTGTGAGGAACAGGTGGTTTGTAGCACTTTTCAATGAACAGGTGGTTTGAAGTGCTGAGAGCTGCGATGCTGAACTGATGTCATGAGGCATCCTGGAAGAAACTCGCTTTTGAGCCGGGCGATTGTGACGATTTGGGTGGGTGCTCCTTCCTTTTGAGGACGCTGTTGAGGCGATTTGGAGTGTTACCCGGACACTCCATGGGACTGCCATATACGCCTACATTGACCACCCTAATGTAGCAGAAATATAGCAGTCCCATGGAGTGTCTGGGAATTGTGAAGGTTCACCGTTCTCACTGTACGGACGGAGCTCCGCCTTGCCTCGCGGGCGATGGCGCTGTACCGCGGCCAAGCCCGCCCGGAGGACAGGCATCGAGCCCCACGAGCCCCAGCCCTCGCAGTGCTGCCTCCTCTCCGGTCAATACCAGGCCTGACATACGTCGACGTATGGGCGCAGTATACGGGCGGGATCATTTCGACGCAATGGCGCTCTGCGAAAAGTGATGGAAATGTGAGGCATCCTGGCATCCGACAGTTCAAGTATACTCATAAGTGTTGACTCTTGATTTATTAAACCATCCATATGAAGAGGTGCTTCAACTTCAATGGGGTGGGTTTATTCATCAAGAAGTCTACGTCGTTAAGTCCTTGAAGTCCAATGACTTCCTTTCCAGGTGATGCACCGAGACCACCGCGGAGACCACCGGCCTCCGCCCCTCTGGGCGCCGCAGCCGCCGCTTAGCACGTGGCCCTGGTGCCCAACCGCTGCCGCTGGGTCCGGGGCCAGGTGCTAAGCTGCCGAACTCCGCCACCCAAAAGGGTGGAGACTGGGGATCGTGGCGCTGTCGAACAGAAAACAGGAGTGAAGAGAGGGAGGGCACCAGTATAAACCCTGATTCACCATCAGACATGTACATCATATTTATAGACATGTTGTTATTTAGATATGATATACTTTTAACATGTATATTTATACATGTATCATACATGTTTGCATCATACATGTGCTGTGTGTAACTGTGTGTTTCTGACTCTCCGTCGCCTCCGCCTTTCACCGCTTGCTCCGGACGCTTCGTCGCGGCGCAGGCGGAGGTCCGGCGACCGCGGCCAGCGCCCTGGGACGTGAAGATGGAGAGCAGCGAGGAGTGGTGAACGAGCGGTGAACGAGTCCGCCATGAGCGGGCCAGAACGGTGAACGAGTCCGTGGTTTGGAGATCCTTTGGATTGGTTTTTGTTTTTTTTCCTAATAAGCTGCTTTGTGAGCTTTCCCGGTTTACAAGACCAGGAGCTGTTTTGATAACCTAGTTGATCCTAGTTGCCTCTTGTTGGTTTATTTGTCACTTGAATGTCCTTTATTGTACACCGGGCTCGTTTTGGGTAGGCTCATGCTGCAGTCATGACAGCGGGGACATCCGGGAAGTCAAACAAATCCGATGAAAGCACGACAAGAAGTAGGTTTGTGCGAATGGAAGTGCAGCGACATGTACAGTGCAACTTGTACATATATATGTACCATATGTACTTTGGCTCAAGGATCAAGCGACTAGAAAAGGTGCGGTTTCCGTTCCGACGCTACGCCGCTTATGGACCGTCAGTGATAGCTTCAAACTTCGCTGATTAAGATCCACTCGCAGGTTATCAGCCGTACGCGCTCTTTATAGCCGTACGAGCTACACGAGACCAAGAACAAGACTAGTCATTACAGAAACCTGCAATGTCAAGCTCAGGAGGAAATGGAAGCGAACCCTATTCATTCGCTGCTCCTGGTGGTCCCAACACCATTTCGTCACCAGACTCTACAATGGGTACTGATTCATCAGCAAATGCTGACGTTATCACTATGCCTACTGGATCACAAATCTCGGAAAGATCCGTGCCACCGGCTCGGAATCTGACCGATCTTGCACCCGTAGGACCAAGAAGATCGATGAGAGCTACAACAAGATCTACATCGCCTATAACGTCTACCGCGAGATCCCCAAGAAGGAGTATAGAGAAGAGACGTGACGATGATAGAGGAACAAAAGAGCAAAGAAGAGAGATTCAGCTGGGTGAAGAATTGAGATCGGCGAGAAACGCATACAATTTTCTTCATGAAGAATATGAATGCATCCAAGCCGGATACTCACGACTACACCACGAGGCTGAAGTGGAGTTCAGGCAAATGTCTAACTACAACAGGAAGATGCAGGAACATCTACAAGAGATGACACAGGAAGATGAAGGAGCGACAATAAGAATTGAAGAGCTCGAACACAAGCTACGCTTGGCGGAATCGACAGCTGAACATATCTACATGAGATATCAAGAGCTTGCACAAGAAACTCATCAAGAACATTCAGAGCTTGAATCTGTGAAAGCAACGAAGGACAGAATGTCCCAAGAGCTTCAAGCAGCAATTGGACACATCCAAGAACAGAATGAATCTTCATTGGCGATCAATAGAAGATCAAAAGCCATTCAGGATGAGAACACAGCCTTCGTCGGAATAGCTGACCAGATACAAGCTAGAATGATTGCGCTACAGGATGAGAATGTCAACATGCACGAGGTGATCCAACACCAGAGAGAAGAACAATGGAACAGTGAGGTCAGGGAAAGACGTCTTCAACACAGCGTTCACTCATCTCAAGATCAGAGCAATCAGGAAGCTATGGTTATTGATCATCTACGAGGTCAACTAGCTATGGCACGTGGAGCTGAACTCAACGCGAGAGCGGAGATAGGAGAGATGGAAGTGGGCATGAGGATGGAGATGTTTGTATGCCAGACTGAAGTCTCTGCTAAAGAAATGGCAGAAATGAAGGCGAGCCACCATGAATACGAAGCAAACGTCGCAAAGGAGGTTATCGCAAAAGGAGAAATATTCAACAACGAAGTCCTAGAAAGTTTCATCCGTGAACGACAACAATTGAAAGACGTCAACCTCGCTCTATCCGAAGCCAACGCACAGCTGAAAAGAGAGAACATGATGAGAGCTCCTATGTTCGGCGATGATGGTGCTGAAATTCAACAGAAGATCAGAGAACTGGAGAATGCACTATTGGAAAGCCAGAAGGAGACAAAGAATGTCATTATGGAAAATGCGAAATTAAAAGCAGAAGCACGAATGGCACCCATAGTCTCTCGGTACAGCAAGCGTCCTAGTTCCAGAGACCGCGGGTTACCAACCCACGCGTCCGAGGAAGATGAGATTCGGAACGCAAAAGAGGAGGCGAAGCACTACAAGGACGGGTACAATGAAATGACAGAGAGCCGAGATGAGATGTATGAATGGTATGCAGAAACCCACAATGAGTACGCCGAGGAAAGGGAGAAATCAATTGAGCTATCCGAGGCGAACAAATCATTGAGGGACAAGATTTCAGAAGCAGAAGCATCCTCTTCATCTCATCTTACACCGGCAACCTCTACAATCATGAAAGTATCGAGGAAGGAAGAATCAAAGATAAACGTTCCGTCATGGCCCAGGATCAATGATCTTGGACTATGGAAGGCAAATCTCATTCAATCGATCATCATTGCGGCCAATGATTCAGATCAAGAGCCCTGGATCGACTGGATCAAAGAAGCCATGGACGATCCTGATCCGGACAAGTTTGTCGACTCAGGAGACCAAAGATTCCATTCAATCGATGCCAAACTCGGCCTAGCTCTTACCAAGGTCGTCATGGATGCGAAAGATGATGGTTCAGGTGTAGCTATGAAGTTGAGGACGAGGATCAATGCAAAAGGGAGAACATCAAGCCTCATAAAGGGAAGAGAGGTCCTAGCCCTGATCCTTATGAATTTCAAGACAACATCAAATGTGGAAGTCTTATATACTTCAATGCACCTCTACCAACTAGAATATCAAGGAGACAAGAACTTATCGTTGTTCTTCCACACTTGGGATGAGATTCTGGCAGGAATGAAGCCCGTTGACGTCCCGAGCGACGAAACTCTTCGGGATCTCCTATGGAGAAAGATCAGGAACTCAAACCTCATGGCATACGACATCAGCGCCTACAATAGCATGAACGACGATGATGCCAAGAAGACATACAAACATCTACGTGATATGATCAGAAGGCACATCGAACGGCAAACTGAAGACAGGATGATCCTGGAAAAGGAGAAGGCAGTGAAGAATGTGGCCAATATCTTTCAGAATCTCAAACCAGGCGGACCTGCTCCAAAACTGAAAGCTGCACCAGCTGATCCGAAGAAGAAACCAAAAGGGCAACAAGAACAGGTTGTCTCAGAAGACGCTGCTGCAGTGAAGCCGAAACCCAATCCCAAGAAGCATCCTGAAGACAAGAACAAAAAGGGAAAGGGGAAAGGTAAAGGTGATGGAAAGGATCGCAGCCGAAGTCCGAGTACAGACAAGAAGAAGATACCATGCAAATTCTTCGTGAAAGGTAACTGCACTATGGGGAAAGATTGCCCATTCAGTCACAAGAAACCCAGATCACCATCCAGAGGATCTTCTGTCGGAAAGAATGACAAGCCAGTATGTTGGATGTGGATTCGAGGAACTTGTGACAAAGGGAAGGATTGCAAGTTCTACCATGACCCAAAAGCCTCTCCTAAGAAAGGGATATCTGCACCAGCTGACTCAGGAGACGATAGGCCAAAGCCCAAGGCAAAACCCAAACCGAAGCCTAAGGCGAAGCCTGGAGCCCCAGCCATTGACGGTGAACTCTTCATGGACGAATCCGAAGATGAAGGGATTGCTGCATCCGCCAAGGCAAGAGAAGGAGGTGCAAAAGTATCCTTTGATGAAGAGACTTGTGAGATCATGTTGAACGAAGCGATCTACTCAGTCAGGGACAAATGGAAGGTAGTAGAAAAGAAACCTCTACGTCCGGACATCAAACGATACGATGAGAAAGAGCTCACCTGCTACACGAGGAAAGAACAAATCAGATTTGAAGAAAAGGTCGCAGAGGCGAGAGGCATATTGATGGTCCCCTACACTGAGATCAAGAGGGTCCGAATACCAGTTGGACCAAAGGGTGACCTATCGGTCACTATGTCTTTTGACGAAGATGACGGCCTAGTTTTCCATCATAAAATCATTCCTCATGTATGCGAGGGAAAGAAAGATCATGCAGACACAAAGACATTGTCTATTCCAGCCAAAGGGTCAAGAACAAAGTTCATCATGGACACAGGATGTGGGTATGATTTGATATCGAAAGGCAGAGCCAAGAAATTAGGTCTGGAAGTGAGAGAAAGCGACCAATCAATGTTATTCTATACCGCAAATGGAGTGACATCCACAAAAGGAGTCGCTGACATTCATTTCGACGAATTTGACTCTACCTACTCCCCATTCGTCCTAGATGAGTCTCCTTCAGTACTGTCTGTTGGAAAGAAATGCATGGAGGAAGGATACACATTCATATGGCCAGCCTGCGGCAACCCGTACATGGTTTCCCCGAACTACAAGAAAATCATGTTAGAAGTAGAGGGAAACATCCCATATATTGTCAAGGGCAGTGACTTCTGTACTCCCACCGACGATACAAGGGCGGAGATGATCGCAAGGTTCACCCTAGGAGAAGATGAAGCTGATTACCAATCGACTTTCATCAACTGTGATGTGGATCCTCAAGGAATCATGTGTGATGATGACGACCTTCCTGTGATTGAGCCTCCAAAAGTCAAAAGACGAAAGAGGAATAAGAAGTTCAAGGCATCTCCTGGAGAAGAAGATGAGGTAGGATCAGATGTCGCCGGAGACAGTGAACCAGAAGCTGACGATGATGATGCAGATGACATCGAGGTGGATGTTGTTGACGGTGCAAGT